GCGATGTACTTTTGAAATCAATAAATTAATTTAAAAATTCTAATGTAGATGTATGTAGCAGTTATCATAGCAGAAAATTAACAAAAAAATATGTGAAAACTTTTGTTATTGGAGAATAACTAGATCCCAAACACATGAATGGTTTTATCCACTATTATTTATTGAATGTTTCAATTTGTAGTATTAAATTGTCGTTCTTTTAAGCACGTGAGAAAACTTATGATTCAGACAATAAATACAACAAACGGAAATAAGGAATTAAATACTTAAATTAAATATAAAATCCTAAGAAAAAAGAAACTTCGATCAATAAAAAGGAAAGAGAAAATATTTTGGTGTCCCTTGATTGAATATTAAAGCCTGGTTCATATGTCGAAATTAAATTTTCTATTCTTAGTTGTCAATATTCAATTTCATATTTCTTTTATCTCTCTGAATTCTTAAGCTAGCACATAAAAAATTTTTAAAAATAAGATTTCAGCAGTGAACAAATTGACCAATCAAGTTGAGAATTATTGAACAGATCATCGTTTAAAAACATTTGGCTGTGATTGGTCAATTTCTTCACTGTGTTTAAATTTTTCTTTGTGTCACTAGCTGGAGACACATCAAGTATATTTACTTTGACGTTCGATCGTTAGTCGGGAGAAGAGCAAAGATGATTGCTGACGGCGGTTTAAAAACGATGCGAACGCGACACGTTCTCTCACGCAACGTGCGTATTATACACCGAGAGAGTTCGGATCGTCACGATGCGATGCGTGTCGCAAGTCACGCAACACGGTTCCTATGTTACAACCACGCGGTTTTATGGGTTCTTATAGCAACACATCTTCCGACGATTAATAATTCAGGCATTTTAGGAAATCGAAAAAAATTGAGAATTGATCCCAGGACCGATTTTATCTTCGCCTGATCTCAAATTGACAGCAGTCTTTTAAATATATTTCTTCGCTAAAATAACATTTTCGTGAAAGCTACACGAGTTACACGAGTTATTATAAAAATTACAACGATTAAAAAAATTACACTTATTTAAAAAAATCTTCCTTATTAGACACAAAATGATCCTGTCTCTCGTAACATTACCACTTATTATCCACTATTATCTTTCTCTTTGATTAATACGATAATATCTGCTCATATGCATTAGTTTTTATGTATCGTATCAGTATCAGCATTAGAAAATAAATTAATTTTTTCAGGGAGATCTTATCTCCAGCTCTGTATCCTCCCACAGAGATAGCGATAATCGTTTCTAAACATCTTCTGTAACGCAAGACAGGATAGTATTCAAAATCATTTCTTATCACGAATAAGATTTTTTTCTACATTCCCCTTATTTGTATGCATGCATATTATGCATAAATACGAGATATTCCACGAATATGCTCATAACATTCTACTAGAATGCTCTGCGAAACCGACTACCGTCGGAAATCGTCGAATCGACGAACGATAGATGAGAAATATTTGTCGCGCGGCGACACGGACGATGTCGACGGGGACTCGACTCGGTTTCGAAGGGCATCAAAGTTCGCGATTAGCGTTAGTTTTTCCGCGTATGGCTTGCGTCAACCTGGGGAGTACGCCTTGGTATCAGAGGAAAAACATATTAGCTGGCGCGTTTCCAGAACGGTCCGCGAGAGGTCGATCCCTCGCGGGCCGTCCTAAACGCGCCGCGTTCCGAGAACGCGGCCAGGTCGCGCCGTCGCCGTCGTCGTCGCCATCGCCGCCGGGTTTGATGACGTAAGAGAATAAAAGCAGCACAAAAGGCTTGCTGGTTCATTAGCGCGAACTATAAGGCCGTCCCCCGGGCTGATCGCGCAGCGTGGCGCGGCGTGGCGCGACGTGGTGTGGCGGCGCAATCTTTGTCCTTTGACTCTGCGGGCACATGTTTGCGGATTGCCGTCGACGATTCGTTGAATCGTCATCTTGTTGTCGTCGTCGTCATCGCCGTGATCGCTGAATTATTCACGGCTCGCCGTTTCCCGTTTCTCGTCGCAGCCACGACCGAGCAGAGTCGACTTCACGAATTTTACGGTCGCATTGATCGTCGAATTTACACGGATTTTCGAGATCAGCGATCGCTGATAAATGCCGTGAGAACGCGAGATTTGAATAAAATTGAAGCAAATTAACTTTGAGATTTTTTTCTTTTTCTACGAAAGCGATATGTTCAATACTCGTTAAAAGGCTAAAAATGCAATTTAGGAAGAAATTAAGAATTATTAGTAGAAAACGAGATGCTTGGCCTTATCTAAAAAAATCACGCGTTTAAATCGCGAGAATTATACGTCTCGGTATCTTGGCGTCAGAGAATGACTCGGGTACTCGTTAAGTTTTTGCAATGTGACGCGAGGTTATATTGCAACTGCACCTGGCTTCTACCTGTGCAGGTGCTTAGAAAAGCCTCGAAGAGCGACGTTTCTTCTCCCTGCGTCTTACAGACCTTTTATTTTCTGGAATAACTTTAAAGAACCTGGCAAGTACGCTCTATTTGCGAAAGAAACTCAGTTTCCTCAGTTCATCTGACGATCGAAAACAAATTTGGTTCGCTAACTTGTTTTCTTCGTCTCCGCGAGAAATTATGAATATTCAGACCTGGACGTATTTTATTCATGTCGAGCGATCATAAGAAAACTTAAAATTCTGAATCCTTCGCGAGGCTTTTTTTAGTTGTGCTTTTCTCTTCTTTTGTATGAAAAGAAAGCGACTCTCTCGACCACCTTCATGAAGGATTTTCGTTCTCGAGAGTGATACTTTCGAGCATGCTCTCGAATCCTTTCACGTAGTCTTAGGGAAGTTTAAAGATACCTTCGCGGTATCGCGATAAACGACTAAATAACATCCTATATACATATATATATATATATACACAAAGATAATAAATTCCACCAGTAACAACACGATGGAAGCTTCGTGAATTATATTTCTCGCGGTCTTTTGACCCAAGAATATCTATGACGCTCGAGAATTCTTGACGAGAGAAGCCGGGGCAAGGATTCTTTAGTGGCTCTAAAAATCGAAAATCGGGCTAATGAGATCCCTTAGATCTGAGGAGAGAACGGAGTGTTCGCGAGTATTCGAAACGATTCGGATTTGTGCTCAGAAATGCCGAGGGCCTGCTCGAAACCAGTGCTCGGTATCCAAGGCCTCAAACATCCGAGACCGAAACGACCGGCGAGTCTGCACGAATACGCGAAACGAGTGTCTACGTAAGCGAATGTGAACAGGCTTTGCTTGCATTTCTCTGTCCCCTTCCCCATCTTTCTCTTTCTCTCCGATGGAGGGCGGAGGAAACTGCGGGAGCAGCAAGCGGCGGAGGCGGAGGTGGAGAAGGGAGAAGGGAGATGAAAAACACCTGTTACGGACTTCCGTAAACACGAGGTGTTCTGTTTATTTTCGTACTACGTCGCCTGTTTCGTATCACATTAGAATCACGGACCCGTTCATTGTCACGTCACGCGGATCTCGTTCTGCCGTACCGACTGTTGCGCGAACGCGACGAATGAGATGGCGCCACCTCCCAACCTGGTATCACATTTTTAATAAAAAAAAATAAAAAAAGGATGTACGTAAACTTATCGTTTATTGTTAATTAATATGCGGTCATTGTCTTTTATTTATTATCTAATTATTTTCATGCGAGAAAATAGAAAACATTATACTGAGTCGGAGA